TCCATTATAGTGGACAGCAAACTGCAGGAGAGAGGATTGGGCATTAGATACAGATATGATGGCGGTCTGTTCAACATAAAAAGACTCAGGGCAAAAACACATTACAAAATTCATCACAGAACTTCAATACGCTGACGATTGCGCTCTAGTTGCAAAAACTGTATAGCAATTACAAGAAATGTTGAACACATATACCTGGGCATACGAGGCTTTGGGCCTTAAGCTATAACATCGACAAAACTAAAATCATGTGCACTCCCCGGAAGATCACAACAATGCTATAAAAATCGGAGAAGATGAACTACTGGAATATGTAACGGAATTCAATTATCTCGGCAGTTTGATTTCGGAAAAGGCCAATATCGACTCTGAAATTCAGCACAGGATTAGCAGCGCTTCAAGAACGCATTCTGGAAGTTAAAACACAGGGTTTTTAGACCATGACCTGAGCACAAAAAATGGTTCCATCACGTCTCAAACGTATCGGTTCTTGAAAAGCTAACTGGAAACCTGGGTGCCGTACCGCCGACACATGAACGCATTAAACAAGTTGCAGCAGAGACACCTTAGACAACTCTTAAGAATCAAATGGTTCCATCACGTCTCAAACGTATCAGTTCTTGAAAAAGCTAACTGCGAGAGTATTGAAGTCATGGTTACAAAATCCCGACTAAGATGGGCTGGTCACGTATGCAGAATGCAAGAAAACCGCATACCAAAATCACTGCTTTACGGTGAGCTTGTAGACGGTAAAAGGAGGCCAGGTGGACAACTCAAAAGATACAAGGACATTTTCCACGAAAACTTAAAGGGGATTAATGTGCAGAATGAGTGGGAAGTAGAAGCTCACAATAGAACTCAATGGAGAAGAACTGTAAACTCAGTTAACAGCGAGAACCGAAAAGTTAAGAGGCAACAAAGCAATGAGATTTTTGAATGTCCGGAGTGCGGTAGACAAATAATATCACGTATTGGGCTTTTCAGTCACAGAAAGGCTCATGAAAGAAAACGCCTTGCGTGACCATCTTCTGATGCGTGTCAAATACTCGTCAGCGAGTAATGGCAGTATGTATGTTTTTTCTAGCTCTATATGCAAAATATAAAAGACATCCCTCGTATACATTGATGGATATATTAAATTTTTCAATTGCTTTCAATACTTTTTTATCACAGCAGGCTTATTTTCGAGTCTATTTCAATCAAATTTTCATCTCTCAAATTATTATTAACAACTCATGAAAAACTACTTTAATTTGGAAAAATCCAATATATATATAGTTATTTTCGTATAGCTTTCTGCTATAATCTCGTCTTACAAAAACACTGAGTTACTACACTAACTACAAATTATTATCAGAATTATTAATTTTATCAAATATTCTGAAGTAAAAAAAGCATTATATACGGGTGGTCCGAATTGTATTCCGGAAACTTCGGCAGCATATTCTGCAGATAAAATTAAGTAAAAAATTTCGTATAAATGTAAATCCTAAAATGCTTAGTTTCGGAGATACAGGGTGTGGAAATTTCATTTTTATTCCGATTTTTTCCAAATAATTTTTGAAGTAACGTAAATATTTGGATGAAAATTGGTGACTAAAAGTTTTTTAACATGAGAAATTTGATTTTGATATCAATATGTCTCCTATTTGTAGGGGGCGCCACCTACATGTGTTCTAACTGTTTTGAAGAGTAACAACTTTTCGTCCGTACCTGTATAAAACTACTGAGTGAGAAAATATACATTTCCGTGATTTTATACTTAAAAAATGTCTCTTGGTAAAAATCACTGTGAGCAACCGTTCTCAAGATATTTAGAATGGAAATAGTCAATACATGTAATTATTGACAAAAAATAAAAGTGTTGGGTAGATAAATTATTTGACTGAAATGATAAATTTGGGAACTTTTTGTTTTTTTTTAATAAATCATAAATTTTTCTTCGAAAAAATGATGATAAAACAGTTTCTGTTAAACTTTTAGCACAAAAACATTTCAAATTTATGATTTCAGTCTAAAAGTGCCATTACACGGCGTGTGGAGCGCCGATCCACGCTCCAGGCGCCAAGACGCGCCACACAGTGCAGCGGATGGTAATTCTAGCGGGATAAAACCTCAGTAGCGATGTTTGGGACTTAAAATCTAAGAACGTAGCAAATGGTTTAATATATGTATAGCACCCATATGGGTTAAATTTATTTATTTATCAACAACTTAATTTATTAATAAATACAAGATAATAAAACTATTATATTATTCGTACGTGACACACAAAAACCGTACTGTAAACTATTGCTAAATAAATAAAATTATGATATCAGGTAAATACTTAAAAAAAACTTTACTTTAGTAGTTATTTTTTAATTACTTTGTGATCTTGTTAAACCCTGTATATTTTATTTTAAAAAATTCTATTTTATTTAAAAATAAATAAAATAGTTATTTTAATTTGAATTTTAACACTCTGTAATTGTAAATTCATATATTACAGTAAGTATCTAAGACAATTTTTAAAACTTTAGTTTAGATTTAAAACTAGTAATAATCATTTACTTTTTATTAGAAATTATGAGAAATTAAAAAAGGCTTTTGCATATAGTCGTGCTTTATTTAACTAGAACATCATTTGGATGTTTTTGTCTTGAGAAAAATTGCCAAACTGACTATCGGTGTCATTCATTGATTTTTTAAACTCAGTGTCTTTCGATGGAGTTTCAGTTCAGGTTTCAACGATTACAGCAGCATCCTTACTACCACTAGCCCTAAAGCTCATAGTACTTGCAAAACCTAATTCTTCTTTTCAATGCTCTTCAATTAACCCTTTAATGAGTCTGTTTTGTTATTATACTAAATAATACCCGAAATAAAACTTTTGGGCGTCCACCTGTTAAGCTTGAACTCTAAAAAAACAAGGGAAAATGATCGTAGATGGGTCTTAACACCCTTCTTTTCTTCGTTACTAAGAGAGTTGGGATCTAAAAATTGCATCACGATATCCCACAAAACGGTCAAGAGATGATGTTGGTTTTAAAACGCCTTTTTACATACCTTTGGCAATCTCCAACATAATTTGGTTTTGGAATAGAATGTATGCACTTGTAAATATTTTGTTGCGTTTTTATATCAGTTGGAATGAACACTATTTATTCTTATCAGTACATATTTTTTGGCTTATTTTTACAAACAAAACGGTTCTGTCCCGCTAGACTTATCATCCAACGCACTGTGCGCCGATGGGACAACCGACCGGCAGGCAGATACAAAAAATGCATTATATCATTTTTTAACATTTAACAGATTATCGGTTTAAATTGGGTTTAAATTAATACAATCGAATAATGTATTCCCCAACTTTATTTTCAGTGCAGTTTATTAAGATAACAGAGTGGAAAGCAAAATCATCTGGTTAAATTAAATTAAATAATATAATAATACATTTTAAACCAGGTTTATTTATGTTCAAAAGTTAAATAATGATTTTTTTAGCTTAATTATGAAAATAATTAGAGTATATCGTATTTTCAGAAAGCATATAACAAGGCAAATAAAATAAAAAAATAATACACTAGGTGTTATTTACAAATAGAAGTCAGATTTCGAAAATGAGAGTTACAAGCGAAACTAGTTAACGTCACTGGATTCTATATAAAAACTCAACTAGTCTCGTTGAGTTTTTATTTTTTAGTTTTCACCTTTTCGATAAGTTAACCAATATACGATGGGATCGAAAAATGCAACATTTTAAAATTCGCCCTGTATTTTAGGAACTAAAAAGACTAGGACAACTCTTGTAGCATCTTTGGTTTCATAAAAAGTAGCATAGTGATGTGAAAACCGCATCTTTAGAAGTATAAAAAATGCAATAAACATTATTAAAAAAATACAGTAATACTTACTCATAAGTATATAAGTCACCTCAACAAAATTTATCTAGTGTTCCTTACCCTTTATATAACATTTAGAATAAATAATAATAATTATTTTAAACAATAACATGGTAGAGTATATTGGGTATACCCTGTATTTTCAGTAATTTTTCCACCTAATTAATATGATATTTATAGATTTCTTTAAGCGAATATCAAATTGCATTTTCGCATTAAATGGAGATATTTAAATAAATTATGTAACAATTAAATTTAACTAAATTCAAAAAATTACTGGCGAAATTTTTTCGTGGCGCGTTTGCTTTGGAGGGTGCAGTTTACCGCCAGTCGACGGGAACGACACGCCGCGCCGCCGCCCGACGATCCCCGCGCCGACCCATTCACACGGCGTCGTGTGGAGCGGCAGTTCACGGTTCAGACGCGTCCTGGCGCGTGATTCCACACTCCGTGTAAAAACTGCTCTTGTACCAGGCCCGTGGCCCGAAAATCGGCGCGCCGACCCAATCACACGGAGCGTGGAGCGACAGTCGACGTGCCAGGCGCGGCGCTCCACGCGCCATGTAATGGCACCTTAATAACTACTTCAGTCAACATTTTTAATTTATGTCAATGATGACAGGTATTGATAATTTCGTTTAATATCTCGAGAACCATTACTCGTAGCGATTTTTACCAAGAGACTTTTTTTACGTAGAAAACGTCGTAAATATGTATTTTTTATTCAGTACTTTTTATACAGGTACGGACGAAAAGTTATTACTCTTCAAACCAGTTAAAAATATGTAGGTGGCGGCCTCTATAAGTAGGAGTCAAATTGACATCAAAATCAAATTTCTCATGTCAAAAAACCCTAGACACGAATTTTCATTCAAATATTGACGTTACTTCAAAAAATATTTGGAAAAAATCGAAATAAAAATGAAACTTCTACACCCTGTATCTCTGAAACTAAGCATTTTCGGACATACATTTATACGAACTTTTTTACTTATTTTTAAGTGCAGAATATGCTGCTGAAGTTTCCGAAATACAGTTCGGACCACCCTATATATTATGAAAATAAGGAACTTCTGGATACTTTTATTATAAATAAAAATGTTTTTTTTTACTTAGATGAAATTACTAAATCGTCTACATCTACCGCTAATACCCTTGCAAGCAGTTCCAACACTGCTCCAGTGATAGAACCTTTTCAAGAACCAGTGATACCGATGTGCGTCTATCTTCACAACAAAACGGTCATTATGATGGAAATCGAAGACACGCCATCAGCTACGTGTGAGCTGATATGCCAAGCTATAATCAACAGCGAAGAACTGGCACTGAACCGAGTTCTAGCCACGCAAGTTTTTACCTTATGGATGATTAGTCCTTTGCTAGGTATATACTATGATGTTGAGATTACATAATAAACTGTACTTTCAATTTTCTTAGAGCTTCAACTGAAGCCATACTCCAAACCTTATGAAATAAGGGAACGTTGGAGATATCTTATTGACAAATACGCTCACGCCTCTGACAGCAGAAAAGAAAAAGATGAACCCAAACTTGTCTTTCAAAGAAACATGTTTTTCTCTAGACATCTAGAGGAGAAATTAAAGTAAGTGTAAGTAGTTGGAGCGAACCCAGTTGATTAAAAACATAATAAATAAATAAATAATTATTTTTGTTATGTAGAGATCAGAAAATTTTGGAACTGCTCTATGAAGAATGCAAATATAACATTTTGAATGGAAGATATCCTTCTGAAATTCCTCATCTTATTATGCTAGGTGGGATTCAGGCTAGAGAAGAACTTGGTCCTTACAACCCACAGGTATGTATTAAAAAATACTATTAGATTTGTTACTAAACACAAATCATATTTAGAAACTTACTTCAAAATTATACAGGGTGTCCCAATGTTTTTTTAGATATATTAATATTCTTTAACTTTTCTGCTATCCCATAATAAATTTTAGAAAGGTTTTAAAGAATTATGGAAATATAAAGTGATCTAAACATTATATTGTCTATAATTAATTAGAATTTAGTCAGACTTTCTAACCCATACCAAATTAAATTAATTAAAAAAATGCATACTAATTTTGAATGCTTTGACGAATCGTGTCCCTATGTAATTTGTTCTGTTATGAATCATATAATAAAAATCATATCATGTTTTATATTTTTATTCAGGTGCACAATACTCATTTCTTTAGAGAAGAGCAATCCAAATTTTTACCAGCACACGTAAGAAAGAGTCCTTCTTGGACTTGGTTACCAATTAGTAGCAAAAACTCCGCAGAAGTAAGACTTTTAGAGCAGTTCAAGAGAATACCCAACACAGCTACGAACAGAAAACTAATTAAAAAATACCTGGAGTATTGTTGGTCCCTACCTTTTTATGGGTAACTTTTCTAACCATAAAGCGTTTTGATTTTTAATAAATGACATTTCAGTGCTGCATTTTTTGAAGGACAAATTGAAGAGCCAGTAAGAGGCTTGATTTCGTTGTTGACTCATCAGGATATTCCTGTGTTAATCGCCATCAATTCTAGAGGGTTGTATATCATAGATGATTCAAATTCGGTAAGTGAGAAAAATAATTTAAGTGGCCCAAATAAAAAACTATTGCATCTAATGAAAAGACTCAGGAAGAAGTATAATATTATATTTTTATTTATGGATTAAAGACGGAATGGACATTATGGAAATACCAACTTTTCCCAGTAGCGTAGCTGCAGTGCGATTCTGTACACATATTAAAAAACATATTTCCTGTCTAGTGACTCATCAATCATATAAAAATAACATAGGCTAGAGGAAGAAATTTCTTGCTACGGAGCTTACAGAATCCCACTGCTCTATTTTTGTAATTTAATATTTACATTAACTTAATTTTTATTACTTAATTTTTAATCGTCGTAATAGTAGGTAATATTTATTGACTCAAGAATCAAGATAAAACAAAACAAGCACAAACAATTGAATTTAAGTCAGTTATATTAAAGTATCATCGCAGCGACACTAATTTTGTTAATAATTAACTGAATGTCCGTCTAACTCTAGGAAATAGTTTTGGGACTAAAATACGAAGAATTCTCTTGGGACTATACGAAACCATCTCGCGAAGACAATCCCGACTGTCTTCCTTGTCTGTTCATCCAGTTCATGGTAATGGAGAATGGAGCTAGGGTCTCCAAAATGTTGCAAGTGTTTTCCAGACAAGCCAGCCTAATGGATACCTTGATCAATTCTTACGTTTCTGAGCTTACGGCTAAGGCTAATGACGAGGTGGACAACAAGATGTATGACAACCAAGCAAGCAGTGATAACGGTTAGTAATTTATTGAGATTTCAAAACTAATAAGAGTAAAGGCCGTTTTACAGTTCGCATTTCTACTTGCTTGCAGGAAAAGTTCCAATAACTTTTCCTACAATACGTGCGCATTTTAGCCTATTTGATTGCAACATTTCTTGCGCTTGTAGATGATAGATCACAACCTACAATTTTTCAATTTACGTGTAACATTTGGTTATATTTTTTTTTAATTAAAATAAAACAAGTTGTATAAACAGGCTATAGCTGCTTAAAGCGAGAAGTATGACTTGATTCATTTCTCTACTGGAAAAAACAATATTCTATAAATGAATAAAGACAATTATCTTAAAATAGTAGAAAATTGGACTCGATCCATTTTAATTCTGACCACTCCTATCATTTGAAGGGTCCAGGGGAAAAACATGATAAGCGCCATTTCACCGATTTTACAGGAGAGCACTGGACGGCTGTTAGTTATGAGGTTCTTGCCGTGTATGCTGTATTTTTACTAGGCATATATCATAGAATTTTACAACTCGGTGGTTTTATTGCAAAAGGTCCAATATCGAAATTTTGGCGTTTTTCTTGTTATAATATGCTTACTGCCATATTATGCCATATTATTACTCAATGATCTATGAAAATCATATGGTTTGGTTAGACCTTTTTAACCCAAATGGAACCATATGATTTTTATGGAAATCGAAATTTTGGCCAAAACATGTTTTTCATGTTACAAAAACATCGCAATAAGATTTCGCCATAGAACCGATAAAACCACCGAACTTATTGCCCTGGGGCGCTATTCTGTACAATCGTCGGTATCGACAAGTTACCGACAACTATCGGTACGTACGGCCAATGAGCGTCGTGTTGATTGTTGTTGTCATAGTTACCGATCGGCCCTATGACAGATATCGCAAATTTGTACCGACGACTCTCGGTATCTCTACCGTGAGGTTGACAAGGGCACGGTAGAGATACTGATTTTCGTCGGTACAAATTTGCGATATCTGCCATAGGACCGATCGGTAACTATGACAACAACAATTAACACATTTTTACTATATACAAATACGTATCGAGAGCTGTCGTAACTTACCGATACCGACGATTTTACAGAATAGCGCCTCTGGAGAGTTTATACATTTTGTAGGGACCACCCAAGTAGCAAAAAGAAATTCTAAAAGGATTGAATTATTTTATAACAGTCGAATAGCGTTGTCTTAAGGACTGCTTGATTTTATTAAGCGTTTGGTTTCGACCATTCTGTTTTTTAATTAAAGTTGTCATATTAAACTATTTTATAGTGGTTTTTACAACGTATTCTATAACGCATTAAACGATAATTTCTTTTAGTATGATATAACACTTAATAAGACAATGCTATATGATAACAAACATATTATTTTATTAGGCTCTTATCCCACCATGTAAGAATTCTATAATATTCATATAACTAATAGTCACAAGATTATATAATAGTTACTTAAACTTGTCTTATTAAAGTTGTATTACGTTGTATGATAGAATGTTTTATTGCGTTAAACTACGATGCTGTATACAACACCAGTTATATAGCCTTATATGATAAAATTGTGATTAACAAAATAAATTCGCTGTGATATCTGCATTATAAAACTGGTAATGTATAATATAACCTCATTTTAAATTAAATGGTATACCTAGTTATTTATTTTGTTATTGTTGTTGTTGCAAAAGTAATATCTACGTACGAGTATAATCAATCACAGCTATTATGAATTCTGGACAAAGTTGGAAAAAAGTTAACAAACGCAGTGGTAGTTATAAAGGGCATGTAAGAAAAAACTCTTCGAAATTACGGTAAATAATCCCGAGAATTCCCTCATTACCAAAAGCCAAAATCTCTCGGGTTGTCTGGTTTCTTCAAAGCATTGTTGCCACGTTGATGAAAAAGTTTTACTGTAGTAATGTTTGTATTTTTTTATTGTTGTTTTTCCAGTCTTTAGGTTGCCGCTCACTCGTCGGGCACGCATGAAATGCATTGCGTGCATGAATCCATGAAAATCTGATCATGTTTCTTAGTTTAAATACTAATCAAATGAGATTTGGCAACATCTATTTGTCACAAATCTCAATATGTCCAAAATAGTTCTATAGTGCCTGGAAATTCTGCGTAATGATAGATATTTATCCTATACCGTTTTATTTTACAACAAAGACTTATTTAAGGGATTCATTAATGATAAAATGGTTGGAATATAATCGCCATGTTTAAGGCAGAATTTTTGTATGGCCTATGGCCGCCATTATATGAGCAAAATTAAAAACATCAAAATAAATTGTAAAATGTTATTTTTGAGAACTATTTTGTGATAAGATTCCCACATACAGTAATAAAGTGTTTAATTAAATTAAAAACAAAAATTTTTGAAAAGTTTATTTTATTTTATTGTTTAAATTTGTACGAAAACCTTAATCGAAATTAAAGCGCTTTAATTTTTTGCCAAATACATGCCTATAATCTACCAGTAAAATTTTCGGCGCAACAAAAATTGTCCCTACTTTTCAAACCCTATTAATGATTTTTATATTACATATTTGTTGTACCTTCTGGCTCTACCCGCCATTTTCATTGTCAAGTAAAGTCTCCTTTTTAACAATCCACATCCTCTAGATTCATTTTACGACACGCTTAAAATATAATTTGCTCCTAATATTCTTCGGTATAAAATAAAATACTCTTTTACCTCGCTAAATGATCAAATGTTTTTATTGTTCTGTTTCTTAGATGTGACCACGTAATACACAATAAAACAAGTTTTATAATAGTTATATAACGCTATGTAAAATAATTGCATAAGAGTTGTATACCCTTTTTATAGAACTTCTATACTACTAAACTGTTGTATAAAAATGGGCCTTTTTTGGTTGTAAAGCTATCATATTACGGTCTTATAACACGTTATATGAATTGAGGTATCCTATAAAAATTATCACATAGCTGTTTATACAGCCTTTATAAAATAAAATTTGCTACTTGAGCAGTTAGACCTACTATAATATTGTAAAATCCAAAAATTAAGAAATTGGTGCTTATCAAATTTTTCCCCTCAACCCTTCATTTATTAGCCCCGATAAACCAACGGATTTGGTCTGCGGATTTGATCTGTAGACTTTGTCTGCAGATTTAGTCGGCGGACTTGGTTTGTCACGTACCAAAACTCTCGATTAGATCTTTCCCGGTTAAATCTTTTTTAGACCAATAGCCCCCCATACATTAACATATAAGTTAGACCGATTAGCCCCCCATACACCAGCAGATAACTTAACCAATTTGATATGGCACTAGCCAAATACGCGGATAAAACTTCGTGTGTATGTGGCGTACCGAGCCGAATCGGGCCCTGCACTATCGCCCACAGATGAAATCACAGGTTTAAACCCGTCAAATTATATATTATATATAGCCCCCAATACATTAACATATAAGTTGGACCGATTTGATCCGTCCGAATTGTGTCGGCGAACTAGGCTCGGCACATACCAAAACTCTCGTCATTTTTGAGCTCGAATTTGGCTCCCCGACTTTATAGCCCGATTAGATTTGCCTGATTAAATCGTGTTGTTAATGGGACAAAATTCGACGTTTTATAACAGATTTGATCTGGCTCGCGATCTTTTGGAAGTCTTGAAAGATTTAACCAGTGATATTAGATTTACTCGGCATATTTGTACTCAGTGAGTTGTAAAAATGAATAACAATCGAAGGTATAGAAGACGCGCTATAGCTTGTGCCATGGCGTATGTATTTATTGCCAATAAACAAAAAGTAAAAAACGAAGCAAGTGGGTGAAAAAATGGATTTCTCGTAGAGATGAACTAGGTCATATGCTCAGTACTAAGTTCGAAGACTTGATACGCGTCGCAAAACAGAGCCAAATATAATTTGACGGGTTTAAACATGTGATTTCATCTGTGGGTGATAGTGCACGGCCCCATTCGGCTCGGTTCGCCACATACACACGAAGTTTTATCCACGTATTTGGCTCGTGCCATATCAAATTGGTTAAGTTATCCGCTGGTGTATGGGGGGCTATTTATTAGGCATACACCAACGGATTTGGTCTGCGGATTTAATCTGTAGACTTTGTCTGCAGATTTAGTCGGCGGACTTGGTTTGTCACGTACCAAAACTCTCGATTAGATCTGTCCCGGTTAAATATTTTTAGACCAATCTAATCTGACAGATCAAGTCTGCGGATTTGGCTTGTGACAGTCACTTGGTCCGCTACACAAAAACAAAGTTTTTATCCGCGGAATTGGCACCTGCCATATCTAAGCGATCAACTTATATGTTGGTGTATGGGTAGCTAATAGTTTATTTATATCACATAAACTATTAATAAATTCATATAGATATAAACCCAGCTTTAGATATGGACAATAGGGTGAAACGAAAAAAAAAAATTTTCCAAAATATTTTCACACAAGCCTCAAAATGTGCCTTTAGATAAGTATTTTTTTTCTCAAAAGCTGAGCGTCCTGCCTTTGTATCTTCAGGTTCCTCACGGGCCTTAAAAGCTGAGATATTTTGAAAGATATTTTTTTTTTTGCCCGTCAACATATTTGATAATTATTTATCTTTTACCTTTAACACACTGCTTAACATGACCATAAAATATAACCCAATAATGTTATCCAAACTAAATCACTTAAATTATTGTTTCCCGGTTCCTCAATATATTTGAAACTTGTCCACCTGCATGATCTTTGCATGCTCGAACCTGCATGATAAAGGATATTGGAGTAGTGTCTAAAAGCAGTTCTACACAGATAGTAGATAGAATGAAGATCAGGAGGGCCAGAATGTCTCAACGTAACGTTTGTACTAGTGTATTAGGTGAAATGTCGTTATTAGGCGTGTTTTTTGATGGTCGAAAGGACTCTACTATTATTTACGATAAGAATAAAAGGAAGAGAAAACGCATTGTCGAAGAACATATTTCTATTCTAATTGAACCCGGTTCTAAGTATTTGGGCCATGTCACACCGGAAAGCGGATCTGCATGTCATATAAAACGGTCTTTGGTTAATTTCTTGAAAGAAAAGTTTGACTTGACCGAACTTTCCGATTTAGTAACATTTGGGACAGATGGAACTGTTGTGAATACAGGAGTGAAAAATGGCGTTATTCGTTTGTTGGAAAAAGAATTAAAACGTCCCTTACTATGGTTAATTTGTTTATTCCATTTAAATGAACTTCCTTTGCGACATTTAGTAATAGAACTAGATGGTGAAATTTCGCGTCCCGGTGGACTCAAAGGTGTTATTGGACAGTAACTAGAGAACTGTGAAACCCTAGCTGTTGTAAAATTTAGAAGAATTGAAACTGTCTAATAACACAGAACTGTCTGATAAAACACGCCTAATAACGATATTTCACCTAATACACTAGTACAAACGTTACGTTGAGACATTCTGGCCCTCCTGATATTCATTCTATCTACTATCTGTGTATATAGAACTGCTTTTAGACACTACTCCAATATCCTCTAAAACAGTATTTGCGATTATATATAGCGCCATGCGGCAGCGTGATCTGAAACTCCAGTTCTGTCACAGGCAAGTGCCACGGATGGTAGTTTATCATGCAGGTGGACAAGTTTCAAATATATTAAGGAACCGGAAAACAATAATTTAAGTGATTTAGTTTGGATAACATTATTGAGTTATATTTTATAGTCATATGTTAAGCAATGTGTTAAAGGTAAATAATTATCAAATATGTTGACGGGCAAAAAAACGAATATTTTTCAAAATATCTCAGCTTTTAAGGCCCGTGAGGAACCTGAAGATACAAAGGCAGGGCGCTCAGCTTTTGAGAAAAAAAATTACTTATCTAAAGGCACATTTTGAGGCTTGTGTAAAAATATTTTGAAAAAAATTTTTTTTTCGTTCCACCCTAATGGACAATAATGTGATAATAGGAAACCTCTTTTTTTATTATAGATAATCAGCCTTCTACAGTCGGAAACCACATATACCCATCCAACTACTCAGTACTAAGCAACAAGCTAAATAAACTAACTTTGGCAACTTTTGACGATAATGGACATTGCATAGGACAGATGGGTTCTTGGTCTTTTAGCTATTAAAAATTATTTTTCTTATGTATTTGTTCTCAATGTACCCTGACTGAAATTAAATGTGATTTTAACCTAAGTAGATATTGCAAGAATTCTATGATATCCGGTAATTAGTCTTATTTATTTATTGTTAGTTTCTAATCGAAAAACAGTACAAAATTCAAAATTATATTCTTCGATAGGGATATGATTTCGGGAATTACATTCACTGTCAAATATTCCGCCGCTGGACATATTAAATCTCAGCAAGTCACTTGCCGTAAAAAATGTTATTATTTATGATTGATATTAATTAATTGTTATTGTAATTATTTTATAAAAAGTACAAATGAATTTCGTTTAGTAAATGTAACATTCCTTTTATTGTTATAAATGTTTACATAAAAGTTATATGATAATAAATATATAATAAATGTATAAAATAATTAATACAAAAATATACTATAAAACGACAGTGACTCTTTTATTCCAAATTTTCTTTTAGAATATCTAACATGGGGTGATTGTTTACATATTCAACCATTTCTGCAAATCTATAAAAAGATAAATTAAAAAATGCACTTTCTTGAATTAACGAAAAAAGTTTAGGCGGAATTACTTCAGCATGCCCTGAAACAAGAAAAAAATCTGTCATCGTGACAAATTACTACAAAAATTCTTTTTTCATATGCAAAAAGTAGGCTTAGATTGAGAAAATATCGAAACTATAGAATAAGTAACTAATAAAGTTACAGTTAAAGTTGTAGTCATTTCCGGTGAAACAGGAAGTGACCGAAAACAATTGAATACGTCAATCAATCCTAATTTATGTCATATACTAACACACCAAATGTCGTTTTTTTTATCTGAAATTTTAAAAAAGCTATAGGGGTGAGCCACTTTCGAGACGCCTCCGGTATACCGTCATGACAGATGATATAAGTATTATAATTTCAAAATATTTTTTAATTGGGCATGCTAAAGTAATTTTTAATAAATTTTTATTCCATAACTCCATAATTTTTCCGATTTCTTGCAAACTTTTTGGCATTGTATATAAAAAATCGATCAAAAACAGAATTAATAGTGTTCTTTCCTAATAATAAACTTTATACACGGTTGTCAACCGTCGGCTTTGGGTCCTGATTTCCGCGTGTAAGGCCAAACCTGTATATCTGTTTATTTTAAGAAACTTACCTAAGTGAAGATAAATCTTTATGTCTTGTCAGTCGGATTTCCAATGTTTTTAATAAGAAAATCATATCGTTTATATCTCTGAAGTAATCTGCTTCTTTATCAGGATCGATATTTTCGTGATTTTGTGTGTACCACATCTGCATATCTTCCGCTTTCTGAGAGGTCTGGAAAACAATTATTTCAATCAAATTTATGTCGGTATATGAAAATATTTTGCCAATACTGAATATTGTCAAGATCAATAATTTGAAGATTTATCATTAAAATTAATCTCTCAATATATTAAATAATGTATGTTTTTATAAACAAATTATTTGCACAATCAAAATTAAACTAGAACAAGTTGACGTCAGACTAAGATCTGAAGGTGAACTTTGTTTAATTCTTATTGTTGTAAATGTAAATATGTACAATGATAAAGTAAAACACAGGGCAGAGGACAAGGGAGAATGAATCAAGAAGTCACGCTGTTCACTTGAGTCGAGTTGTCCAAGTATCATAATGGCAGTAATAAAGTACGTTTATAAGTATATTTTATTGGTCAAATTATATTTCTTGACATTTTTCCTACATACATTCATGTATTTAATTCTGTAATAAATTTATATTTTGATTTTTATATATCCCTATTATCTATTAGTATATATTATATTGTCCCTAGCCGCAATCCCCTAAACCAAGTTCGCGATAGTATGAATATTTACCGTTTCAAATTGTCTTTGAATATCATTGGCTCGTTTGACTAACAACTCTTTAAATTCTCCAAGACACTGATACTTGACGTCCAGCGCCTGTTGATAAGTCAGGTCCGAGGGATTCCCAAGTCTTGCCAAATATGGAGCCAAATAGTCCGCTTCTTCTTCCACTTCTTTCTCTTTGTACAATCTGTGTTGTTCCTCCTGGTCCAACATTCCTATTTTATATTCCTGATTCTGTTCGCGATTGTAAAGTGAAACGTCTAACTTGGAGAATGCCATTTCGTGAGCTCGTTGTAACAAAAATTCGGATATCTGTAAATATAACATCGTATTCAAATCTAGAATACCACTTTATCTAAAAAAGAAAACATTCGCCCAATGTTTACTACCAGTCATGACCTAGGCATCCGAAACCTGGACACTTAAACTTCCGTATCAGCTCCCTTCCGTTTACGTAAAATATTATATCATGTAAATGTATAGGATAATACACACTATCCGTTCCGTTTCCCTTTCATTCTATATCCTTTCCTTCAATAAATTTTTTGGCGGACGGGCTTAAGCGTATCGGAAACAGCATTGTCAAGTTCTTACATTTGTACCAGTTCTGTTAACATTTTGTTGATATTTATTGATTCTTTCACCTCTTAATTAAATCTATTACCTTTTTAAAAAGATGCAAATTTTTAAAATAAAACTTTCGTAATTATATAATTGTACAATAAGATGTATGGAACTGTGAACGAAAACATACGTATAGCGTAAATACAATCAAAAATACGGAACGAATATGGAATGGAAACGGAAGGTATAGTAAGAATCAACCTTAGCGGATATTATAAGAAAACTGCAGGTCGCACAACGCTTAATGGAACTAAATATGCTGGCAATAATCAAAAAAGACCGTAAAATAATAGGGTGGATACGACAAAAGACCCATGTAATAGATGTCATCCACAAAATCAAATTCCTCAAGTGGCAATGGGCAGGACACCACCTGGCAAGAAGGACGGACAACAGATGGACCACAAAAATTACAGCGTGGTTTGGTTTGGTTGTTTACTCACAAGGAATAAAGAGACCTAGAAGAAGACCAAACCTGAGATGAGACCATAATATTAGGAAATTAGCATGGATAACTCATAGCCATCAACAGACAACAATGGGCCCAACTACAAATTGTAATTAGTACAAAGGGAGTACCTAAATATGTGAGAAAAGCTACAACATAACTGGAAATTGCTGAATAAGCTGAAAATGATGATGAATGATGAAACATGACAAAAGTAAAATTAAGTGTATAACTAAATTTACCTGATTTTCAAAATCTCTGATTGGTTTCAATTACTTCTTTCTCATCTTTGATTTGTTGTTCCAGTAAAAGAAATAGCTGCAGTTGCCTGGGTGGTTTGGCTCCTATCTGGGCTTGGTAACCGTTGGTTAACTCCGGATGGAAAACCATAGCCTCACCCATTTCAGATATGGGTGGTTTAATAAAGTTTCTCGTGGATGCCGTGATGCAATTCTTATCGTAGTGGTATTTCAAATATATTTCGCGATCTTTTATGTTGAATTCGCGCACACTGAGGTCTTTGTAAGCGGATTTATCTTCATTCCGTCTAAATTTTTGGACTATGCTCTTAAAACAAAATATATGGTGTCTCTTAGGTAAGTGCAAGTATTTTAACTGATACTGGCAGTATATTTTGATCCCAGAAAAACGCTTATATGAGTTTTTATTTGTAAAAAAAATGTTTGATGTTCTCCGGGAAATTTGAAAAAAGAACGTCCTGAAATTTCTTAACGATAAATGAGAGCCTTGCAGTGTTATCTCTTATTTTACTCACATTTTACATATTTGTGTGTTTATAAGTTCACAGTAATTTTAATTTTCTACACTATAAATATCCATAAAAAAATTAATTTTGAAATTTTGATAAATTGAAAATATCATTTTTTAATCCAGATCTACCACCCCATAAAATATTTTCACTTGTTTAAGAGACACTCTGTATAGTTTAGTAATCTATTATTTTTCTCTTTTCCTCGGGGAAGCTTATTTTAAACTAAGAATAGTAAAAGAGGTTTTTATAGGAGTCTGACCTCTCCACTAAGTTAATTTTATGATGTATATGTTACGGTTAAGGTCCGATGTCCGGTTAATGTCGACATTAAGATGCACACTTTCCGTTCCGTTTCCCTTCCGTTCCATATGCTTTCCTTCCATACATTTTTTTTGGCGGACGGACTGAAGCGTATGGGAAACAGCGTTGTCAAGTTCTTACATTTGTACCTACTCTGTTAACATTTTGCTGATATTTATTTATTCTTTAACCTCTTAATTAAATCTATAACCTTTTTCAATACATACAAATTTTTAAAATAAAACTTTCGTAATGATATAAATTGTACAGTAAAAAGTATGCAACTGATATGGAATGGAAATGGAAGGTATAGTGAGAATCAACCTTAACCCGCTCAATCTCGAGAGTAACACACAATAAAACAACAAAAACCATAACCAAACCCAAACTTGCCCAAACATTAACCTGTTAATGTCGACATTAACCGGACATCGGACCTTAACCCTTAACTTTAACAGGTGGCTCACCCCTTTAACTTTGTTTATTTTTTCAGGTAAAAAAAGATTTAATATGTTAATATGACATAAATAAGGATTGATTGACGTATTCAATTATTTTCGGTTACTTCCTGTTTCACCGGGAATGACTACAAATTTTGATTTTCATATAACATCCTTGGTATTTTTTACTTTTTTATTGAATAGAAAATGGCATTCTGAATAGAATGACATATATATCATATGTCAACTTTTGAAATTTTCAATTTAAAAGAAGGCTGTACTTAAACTGCCGTTAAACGGTAGCTTACTAAAATGCCGTTAATAGGTATGACCTCGTTGATGTGACGCACTTGACGGCTTTATGAAATATAGGAATTTTATAAGGACTAACCAACGCTATCCACCCCACCAAATAACCAACTTAACCAACGCAACTAACCTCGACACTGATAAAAAATATAAAAAACAAATATAAATTAGTAAAAATCAACCAACCCCACCAAATAACCAACTAACCAATGAATTAACACCCTCGAAATAACGACGCTAACCAACCCGCCAAATAACTAAACCAATCCAACCAAAAAGTGTGAAACCAATGCAAATAAGATCACGCTATAAGCAAAAGAATATAAAAAAGTGTTGGTCGGCGTGAGATTTGAACCACAGACCATCCGCTTACGAAGCGATAGCCTCAGCCACTGACCCACAGGTGCTCTTGCAAAAAGCTTAAGGCTAGGCATTACTTTCCGCCGACATGAACGACGTTACTATATCTATTAACGGCATTTTAGTAGGCTACCGTTTAACGGCTGTTTAAGTACATCGTTAAGAAAATAGCATTTTAAGTTTTAATTTAGAGTGCCATATGGCCATAAATGTAACAATTTGTTACTCGAAATACCAAATGTGTGGTACCAAATTATTCATAAAAAAATGCCTTTTCAAAATATGCTAATGAGCCACCCTCGTTCTATTAGAAAAAATTGAGATATGATTAGAAATGCGATTTGGGCATCTTAAAATCGATCAGGACAAGAGACGAAAAACATTATACGATCGAATATATTTTTCCAAGACTCCTTGATTAAAAATTAATGTTTTTAACAAAGCCATGGCACGCTGGAAATTTAAAACACGACTCTTTTTTAAGCGAGAGTGTCAAAACTTAACATCAGAGAGTAGTTTTCTATCGAATAAAGTAAAAAAAGAGTGCCATTTAAAAATCAAAAATTGTAGTCATTTCCGGTGAAACAGGGAGGGACAATTGAATACGTCAATCAATCCTAATTTTTGTGTCATATATTAACAAACCAAATCTCGTTTTTTTATGTGAAAAACTATTACTATTGTTATTGGTATTACTATTGTTATTGGTATTTAGTTATTATATGTAAGCTGTGGACACTAATTTTGGGACTTGTCCTGTTTGTGTTCCGACTAGAAATAAATAAATAAATAAATAAATAAAAATAAAAAAGTTATAGAGTTGAGCCACTTTTCAGACGCACCTGGTATAGTCTGTCCAGCAAAATAATATATGACAGTGACAGTGTTGTGACATCTGTCATTTTAATTTAAAAGTATATATGTTTTTCTACGATTTTTGAAAGTCGCCTTTCGAAATCATATAACTCTCCCGCTGGACAGAGTATAGGATACTTAGTTTAAATTGCAAAATTAAAATATATTTACTCGAATAGGTCGTCTATTTGAGTCTCCTAGGGTAGTTTTTCTTCTTTGGTCGTATACAACTTGTCTATAATATACCCTAAAACGATATTAATATCTCACATTAGGTGGTCATACCTATACAGGTTATTAGTAGACAGGCATATAAGATGAATGAACTGAAAAACTTCTAAAATATATATTATGGACATCTATATAATGAACAATTAACAACTACTGCGTTTGTTGATCATAAAAAGAAACTATATTTCACATCAATTAAACTTCTAGTTACGTAATCGAGGGCGCGATTTTAAATTTCGGTTTTTTCGGAGTTTTGTTGTTGGTAAATTCGGAGTTTTGTTGATGTAAATAATAACTGTTTATATATTTATAATTAATTTATTTTTATTTCCTAAAATATTTTGATTAAAAGAAAATATATAAAAGTGGGCAACGCTGTGCCGGTCAAGCTTAATCACGTGACTAAAAGTTTATTTGGTATGAACTGTATGTATTGCTAGGGGGCTGCCATAAATTATGTGATGCGTTTTTGAGGATTTTTTTAATCCCCCTTCACTACTGTTGAGATATCGTAAAATTTATCTCGGCCCCTCCCCCCTAATCTCACACGTGAGAACTTTCAAAATTTGTATTTTAAAATGCGTTAAATTTATTTAAAAAACAGAATTAGTTATATTATTTTTATTAAGATTAGTAAACAGATTCGAGATTGTTTGGATCATAATCAGAATCATACATAGTGATAAGCACAGAATATCTAGCTACGCGTAGCTAGATATTCTGTGGTGATAACATTAAACAATATGTAAATGGTAATTACTAAAATTAATAGGAAAAATTCTGTCCATGGAGACTAGCGCACGGTCTCAAGAGTGGCTCTTCTTAGTTTGTACTAACAAATCTATGTGATATTCAGTAAAATCATCTGCTCCTCCACCTTTGCTCTGATTTAGCCAGTTTGGCAACAAACTTTTATTATATCATGCATATTTAAATACATATCTTTAAATATCTCAAAAACCAAAGCTTTCAAACATATAATTCATTCCCTTATAATAAATGCCTTATTTTATGTCCAAGAATCCAAAAATGAAATAAAATACCAGGTGAAAAAATAATATATCTTTGGTATGGATCTTAGTTCTGACACACCCTGTATATTTCAAAATAATTTTAAATTGTACACATTGCCTCCCCACATTTACCCATAAAAAATTTTGTTTCTACATCTTTCCGTTTTCAAATAATCAACAGAGGCAAATATGGTGTATACAGGGTAAGTCTTAAATTAGTGCAAATATTTTTAGGGATAGTATATTTCGGCCCCCGAAACACGATTATAATAATATGAGATTTTTTCAAGAAAAAAAAATTAATTTTTTTTAACTTTTAGTTAATAATCAATTTCTTGATAATATGGCAACATATAGGTGTAGATTAAACCCATTAAACTTACGACAAAGAAAACCCAGAAAAGATCGAGCGGTTCTGAAAATTTAAGCAAAAAATCATTTTTTTTTTGGAAATTTGAAAGTAAAATAACTCGGTTAATTCGGACCTATTTGAAAATCGGTAAAACAGAGAAAATATTATATTTCTTTTATCGAGACCTACCAGCCCTGAAAATATTTGCACTTATTTAAGACTCCGCCCTGTATAAGAATTGTGTCATTTCGACATATTTGACATTTTTAGCCGACCATACCAACAGGTATTAACGGCTATTAAGATCGGCAAAAAAAAAGTTTTATTTAATTTCACTCAAAATGAGTTATTTGCAAAGGTTATTTGGGTCATAAATGACCTAAATACAATATATTTTCATGGTGTCTCCCTGTCTGTCCGTTTGTAACACGATAACTCAAAAACCACTAAACCGATTTTAACCAAATTTGGCACAAAAATACTGTGGCACCCGAAAATCTGGCCATTAGTTTTTGGTGGGGGTGAGGGTTTGGTAAGGGGGTACGGGAGAGGGTTAAAAATTTTAAAAAATCGTAACTCCAAAATTACAGTAGGTAGCGAAACGCGGTTTTCAATTTAAGATTAGGAATAATATTTGCAACAAAATTTATAATAACATCAAAATCAGTTAAAGTCGCAGTTTTTGAGATTACGAAAATATGAAATATTGTTTAGAAAATGATAACTCAGAAACAGCTAGCAAAACGCGGTTTTCACTTTTATGTACGGATATATATTTTAAACGTTTAAAAAAAGGCCAAAATAAAAAAAGGCCAAAAAATATAAAAAATCTCAAAAAAATATATAAAACTTATTTAAAAAAAAACAAAAAAAAAGGAAATCCGTCCATCGGACGCGAACCCAGGTGGCGGATAGGGGAAATAACCGCGGACCAAAATTGGAAAAATTCCTTTACTTTGAAAATAAAAGAACTGCCTACCAACTTTTTATTAACATATTTTAGTATGGGAGGCTATACATGCCTCCCGGCGCAATTTTTTTGAAATATTTTAGTCTAGAAACATTTTTCACGAAAAAAATTACGTTATATTCGACTCTCCCCTACGTGAGATTTAGTGAAACTTGACTTGACTCCCTTCCCCCTTGATTGCCCCACATAATTAATGGACGCCCCTTTATAATATTTAACTTTCAATGATAATAATTATGTTACTGTACTTGTCTTCTCTATCGCAGTAGTGTTCTGTCAAAACCTGAGTCTCTATTTCTATTTTTTCCAAACCATCAAATCTAGCCTTACTGTTGAAAAAAAATGTTCTTTCTCCGTCTGCAGTATCATCATCTTTGTAGTAAATATGTTCTGTGATTAAAAAAAACATGTAGAGATGAATTGAAACTACCGTATGATCGAAAAAAAAGGCGTCAAAAACGGCTGTGGAATGACAAGTAATCGATAATAATTTTGGCGAGGACTAAAGACGTCTAGTGAAACTTGTCAAAAATTAAAACTAAACAATTAAATAATAAAAAGTAAAGCAAAGAAAAAGATTCCAGTTAACGTCTCCTTTTTGCTGCCAGGGCTAATTTGGACGGGGCCTACTTTATTTACGCGGAATCCGAACCGCGGTCCTCGGCCATATCATGGTCAATGGCCTACCGACTTGGCAAGTGTCTAAATCGAATCACAGAATCGAATCTTACTCACGAGATATCCGATCTCATCCGGCCTCGAACCGGCGCGGCGTGAATGAGCAGTGCGTTTCAATAGATTTTACACTCTGTTGCCTTTTTTTTGGACAACAGCACGATACAGAGTTTCGAACCGGTCACCCGTCCATCCACTAGTATCGCCTTATGTCGCTTAACTTCGGTGTTCTAATGGGAACCGGTGTTTCGATGTAGCTGGGCCGTTGCCCAATTAAATAATAAAGAAACATTAAAAAAGATAAAACGTTTCCAGACATATAAATCTGTTTCAAAAAAAATATTTTTTTCACGAATTTTAAACTAAGTATAGCATTTAAAAATCATTTTGCCCAATATAAGAATAAATTACAATCTTCTTAAAACCAACTGGCAGTAAGCGCCATTAAAAAATCAAGAAGACTACGGGCAAATTAAATGACGTCTGGGGCTTGACCTGGCCAAAATTATTACCGATTGTCATTCCCCAACCGTCTTTGACGCCGTTTTTTTTCGATCGTATAGTATTATTATATCGACTTTCATTAACTTATAACACTGTCCTCTCGTCCAGGGTTGAAATATTCAGTAATTTGGTTAGTTTTGGCATCGAAAAAGCTTCTATTTAACTTGTCGTGGCGATTTTCGTATTTTTCCTCTACTGATTCGATGACGGTGCAATCGAAATCTTGAAAACGTGATATTTTTTGAACCATTCCATCATCGAGAATGTAAGGTGCATATTCTTCGACAATAGTCCTCTTGTATTGCGTCACTCTGCTTCCGTCAGGAAATCTTCTTTTCAATACTAATTTTTGAAAAATTTAATTTAGTTGGTTATAAATAAATAATAAACCGGGAATTTCGCTACCGCGCCTTTTAGGAACCGGGATTTCCATTTTTTTCGGTACTTTCGGTACTAACTAATTTTTATTCAATGATGGTATAGTTCATCAATCCGAAAGCAAAAGATGGTTTTCCAAAGTAAAATCGATAAAAAATTGATTTCTAATGAAAATAATATTTAATATAGGACATCCTCACGTAACAAAAAATATTTTTTTAATTATTGATATCGAGTCCCGAAAGAACCAGAAATTAATTTCGATGTCCGGTTCTTTGTTAGCCTAAAACATCCAGAAATTTCAGATACTTTCAAAACCGGGATTTCCCGGTTCTGAACCCTAACTGGGAGTATTAATTAGGGTTTCCGGAACCGGAGCTATTTTCCTGAACCGGGAATTTCGGTACCATGTCTCTAAGCAACCAGAATCTCCCAGTTTTGCAGGTACTTTCGGTACTAGCAAATTTTGGTTCAATAATTGCGCAGTTCGTCAATTACCAAGCGAGGGACAGTTTTCAAAGGTAAAACCAATTAAAAATTGAGTTTTAAAATTAAAATAATATTAAATTATGAGAAAATTAACACAAGCGAAGAAAAAAACTAAACAAATAGGTAACTTAAAATTTACATCAAATAACATAATCCAACTAAACTAAATTTGAAAAATTGCTCAATTAAAAATTCAAATACCTATAAAAACATAACATAAAAAATATAACTAATATATTTAGCAATATTATACTAAATAATAAAATAACATATTTAAACTTCAATAAGTGCTAATATATAAACATTGGTTCATAATTTATAAACTTAAAACGGGACATCATTAGGAAACTGCAGGTCGCACATCGTTCAATGGAACGAAATATGCTGGGAATAACATGGGAATAACTTAAGGGAATACCCAAGAGGGACCGTAAAATAATGGAGTGGATAAAAGACCCAATTAATAGATATCATCCACGGAGTCAAGTCCCTCAAATGGCAATGGGCAGACCACAAGCCATTGCCATTTGAGAACACAAGATTACAGCATGGTACCCACGAGGAATTAAGAGACCTAGAAGAAGACCGAACCTGAGATGGGACCATAATATTAGGAAATTAGCAGGGACTTAAACCCGCATAGCCAACCATAGACAACAATGGCACAAATTACCTATAACAGATGCGAAAGAAAGCGACTGCATGGGAAACCGTTCGGCAAACCCGACACGCCTATTGAGTGGTGTAAATACACCAGTCGTTTAGTCCGGAAACCCATGCTGTGTCGTATTCGCTTGCTGGAGTGACATAGTGCGTGGTTATATGTTTCTTTTAAAAACGCGTGTAGGATTTTGTTGAACTTTTGAACTGTTATTTCTAAGTTTTGGTAATTTGTATATCTTATTTAAAATGGGATACAAATGTGTTTATTTATAAGGAAAAATAAGATATTTATAGTATAAAAAATTAATTTATTTAACAAAATTTAATTAACAATGTCACAAAATAGTTACCTTTCTATTGGTTCTATCGGACTTTTTTCGACTATATAAATCTTTATTTGTAAACTTTAATACATCAAATATTTTCAATCTAATAAATCATTTAATGATGTAAATAAGAGAAAATTTCTCACATGGGTGGTCAAATTCTATAGTTTTCATTATATCAAACGGCCTCTGAGAAATGTTTTCAACTCAAAATGCCTTTAATTATGTTTGACTACATCATTAAAAAGGGTCTTCAAATACATCAATGTGATATTTGTCTAAAATTTGCAAAAGAATCCGAATCTCTGGATAACTCGAAATTATTTACCCATTTAAAAGCCTTTGATCATGAATGTGGAAAAATTTGTTCATTTTATTTACAGGCTGGAAAAATTATTTATATTAGATTTTGATGAGTTTTGCACTGAAGAAAACATTCAGAGGCTGTTTGATATAACGAAAACTATAGAATTTGACCAACCATGTGAGAAATTATCTCTTATTTACATCATTAAATTATTTATTAGATTGAAAATATTTTATGCATTAAAGTTTACAAATAAAGATTTATATTGTTGAAAAAAGTCCGATGGAACCAATAGAAAAGTAACTATTTTGTCACATCTTTAATTAAATTTTGTTAAATAAATTAATTTTTTATACTATAAATATCTTTTTTTCCTAATCTCCTACGAACTGATATAATATGACGAGTAATCTATTAAATTACTGTGAGATTATATGCCTCGATAACATATTGGTGCAGATTATTTTCACCCAAACAAATAATAACCCAAACTATACATTGATGCGGATTGTCTATGAACTCTTTCTGAAGGTCACAGAAATCTGAACGCGGAATTCGGTGTTCTTTCGCATCTGTTATAGTTAATTTGTGACAATGGGCCCAATTACAAAGAGAGAATGTGGGGGATGCTACACCATAGTGGGAAATAGTTGAATAAGCTGAAAATGATGATTACATAAAGATTATATGAACTTCAAAAGAACTTCAGAGGTAAGAACAGTAAGAGATAGCATCACTACTTGCAAATCAAGATCGCTGTCATTTTGCAGGTAAAATTATATAAGGAATGGCATCGATCGTCATTTTCAAGCCAAATTTTGGACACAATCAAGTTGACTATACACATTCTTGTCCATGTGGCAATAGGGAACGTCGAATAAGCCGGTTTATGCCGGTGCCTCTCAAGATGTAAACATAACTTTTATAAAATTTCAAAATTACAAAAATCGGTTATTTTTTCTGTTTATTCTAAACATGGTAAATAGAAATCCGTTTCTTTTGTCCACATCTATCACCACTTAAGATACTTGCACGTATTTATAAGAGACACCCTGTATAGAAATTCGAAGGAAAAAATGTACAAGATGTCCAATACGGTGTATTTGGTGCAGTTAGATTGCCCTTCCTTTCAGTGATTAGATAATCCTTACACTTACCTTCGCTAGGTATGTTTATCTTCATCGACCACGGATATGGAATGTCGAGGTGTTTTTCATCAAACATATCTTCAAATTCTTCATCATCTCCAATTTCCGTTGTAGTGTTCTGACGCCACTTGATTGGCTCACCTACCAGAAGATGCTCCCATTTCTCAGTATCAGTCAAGTTGTAGTTGATATCGGCCAGACCCTTGGAACAATCTTGCAAATTTACCTAGAAGGAATTGGACCTGTTATTATAATCGAGAAATATTGTTCTTCTGGGAATATTACAAATGGAGAGAAATAAACATTAAATTCAAAAAAGGCCTATACATGGTCCGGCAGTAGTGCGTCGGGCATCTGTAGCTCCTAGAATAAATAAATTTTTGGCTTTTTTTTCAGATCACTTTATATAATCCTAAGATATGAGTAAATATATTTCGATAGTTTCAGAGATATTAATAAATAAATAAAAAATATATATTTTTCATCCTTTCTTAAAAAAAGTTATTAAAAATACAAGAACTATTCTGAAATCAAAACTATATTAGATATTTATTTTAGATGGTCTGTACTTAATTTGCTATAAATATGGTAATCGAAATATCATACAGGATGTTCAAAATTTTACGCCAAACTTTCTAAAATATAAAATAATTTTTCTTCGTTTTTTTAAATGGAACACCCTGTATATTATTTTTTTTAATAGATGGAGAATTAAAAAATGAACATTTTTGGTATTTAGAGTATTTCAAAAATTTTAACGGTTTTACAGATATTCGCGGTTTTATATTTCATATGGCATTTTCCATAGTAAATTTCTATCAAAGCCACCCAATGATTTTTCTCTCGTATTATACCGTTGAAACCATTAAAAATTTTGAAATACTTTAAATACAACAAATTTTCATTTTTTAATTCTCCATCTAATAAAAAATAATACACAGGTTGTTCCATTTAAAAAAAAAAACAAAGAAAAAATATTTTTTATTTTAGAAAGTTTGGCGTAGAATTTTAAACACCCTGTCTGATTTAAAATTACGATATTTATACCAAAGTTAAGTATATAGACCATCTAAAGTAAATACCTAATATAGTTTTGATTTCAAGGCAGTCCTTGTATTTGTAATATATTTTTTTAATGAAGCTTGAAAAAAATATATTTTTTATTTATTTATTAATATCTCTGAAACTATCTAAATATATTTATTCATATCTTAGGATTATGTAAAGTGATCCGAAAGGAAGCCAAAAATGCAATAATATACAGGGTGTTCCATTTAAAAAAAATCATCCCGATCCACTCACACTTTTTTGAGCCACCCTATAGAAGTTAAAATAGTTTCCTGAAATACATCCTAGTACATACTTTAGGTTTACACTTAAACAAAATTCCCAAGTGTTTTATTCTAGGAGCTACAGATGCCCGACGCACTATTGCCGGACCCTGTATGTATTTCGCCCACTTGCACTCTAAGAAAATCAACATAATGGGCCTGATGAATAAAGAGAAGCAATTGCTTTTTCTATAGAACTATCTTTGTTGGTTGTTTACAAATTGTATAAGTCTATTTCAAGAAATTTAAGTAAAAGCATTTGCTTAACTTTTATTCATAAGACCCAATAAAATAGTTATTTTTTGTAAACATTGTTGCGTTAATCGCCAGGAGACCAACTTGTCAGCAACTAACAAAAAAAAATGCCTAACGAACAAAAAAATGCTTAATGTTTCGGGAAGTATATTCTTCCCAAAGTCGGAAGCATAAAAACAAAAAGAACGAATAAAAAAACTATTTAAAATATCTAAATACGACTATTCAAAAACACTAGATTTTTCAGCAGCTATCTATACTAATATTATGGAGTGTAGAGGTAAGGAGAAACAACTCTTACGGGACTTTTATTGAGAAAGTGGTCACAAAATGGGAAGAATAAGGGTTCGCCAAATAACCACAGTGGCGCTAAAACTAAAAACGCATGAATCTAAAAAATGAAAAGTAACCATAGATAAGAGAATAAAAATAAATATAACCAAACATTACCCAGAAAAATTTTGTTTTTATTTTTTAGACAGAGTTTTTGAATATAAAATAATTATTGTTTATCAATATTTAGTGCTTTATTTATTATTTAACAATGGTTAAAGTGTGTGTGGTGCGAAGTTGATTGAATAGCTGATGGAAAAATAAAGAGCAAAGGCAAAGCCTACGGTATGTAAAATACATAATATAATTCAGTATTGTATTATTTGTATTATATGTAAAAATTAGAGTCAATCAAAAGTGTAGTAAACATTTTTCGTAAGATTATTGGCATACATGTTACAAAGTATATTTTTACAATCCTTTTTATAAAGTTACAACCTAAATAAAATTTATTTTTAATGATTTTAAAGTTTGACAGACATGCACAAATTGTTGGCATTTTTTTAAACAAGTAAAAGTAGGAACTACATAAAATTGTAGGTACTTTCAAGAAATATAGTTAACTGTAAGTGCTGTATTTTAATAATCTATCAAAAATCAAAATCATCAGGATAATATTAGGTATTGATTTTCAGACAAGAATTAGATTACAGTGATGGTCAAAAGCATTTAGATATTGCTTTGAATCTACAGATAAGGTATGGCAGTTTCATTTTAAAGAGTTGTGATAAAATTGTCATCAGAAATACTGTCCACTTCAGTATTTACATAGGAAAATATTGGAGGATGAAGCTCTACCTACTGCCTCAAGTTAATTTAAATTCTGAATTGCAACAACAGCAACAAGCAAGAAGGGCACCATTAAATGAATATTATACACATAAGTATTATTATACACAGAAAGAGTAATGTTATACACATAAATATTAACATTTTGTAGAGCAACAACACAATAAAAAACCAAAATATGAACACCAGCAACTAAAACAGGAACCATTAAATGAATATTATACACGTAAGTACAATTTGATCGAATAAAAAACGGCGTCAGCGATGCCTATGAAATGAAGATTGCTGTCATTTTATATGTAAAATGATATGGAGAATGTCATCGAGATGTTCATTTCCAAGCCAACTGGACGCCGTGTTTTTTCGATCATACAATATTATTATACACATAAATAATAATATTATACATATAAACATCCCTTGATAAAGATCAACATTTTGTAGAGCAATAACAGCATCAAATAATGGAAATAATGGACCCTACTGCTCAAATCAAAAACAAAATTTCAGCATTACCACTTTATTGGTTATATCAATAAAAGAAATTATTGAGTTTATGAGTCTAAATCCTACAAGCAAGCAGATCTATCACATAATTTTAAATGAAGATTTATCTATTATAGTATGTATAAACACTTTGCATCTTTTATTCAATGTTGTAATGAATTAACAAAATGCAGGTAATTTATTCTAATAACGAAAAAAAAACTTTGGATCAAAAAATATTTTCTTCTGATGAGGTTTATGAATATTAAAGTCTGTTGAAGTTTGGCCATTATGTGTTGGTATACAATTTATTTATGATGTTACAGTAGTTAAACCAACCGAGTACAAAACATGTTTAAAATCCACTATTCTTAATGAATAGCATCTACCAACTTGAGAGGAAGCTAAGAGAAAGGTTCTATTGGGTGGACTACAAGGAAAAGGGACATATACATGAGGATCTGGAAGGGCTATAACGTCTACGTCTCAAGCCATGGAACAATAGGAAACGAAATTCAAAGGAAAATATTACAATACGTGGGATGCAAATTATAGTGCAAAGAATTGAGAAAAAGAATTATTAAAAGTAGTTATTGTTATGATAGTTAAACCATCCGACTACCAAATATATATAAAATCCACTATTCTGAATGAACAGCAACTACCAACTTGGGAGGAAGCTGCGAGAACGATTCTATTGGGTGAGCTACAAGGAAGACATGAGCATCTGGAAGGGCTATAAAATTATATTATTATTTCACGTCCCAAGCCATGTTGGAATAGCTGGGAGTGAAAAAGAAGATAATACTGCACACGATTCTTGTAGAAGTAGTTGATATTAAGGTAGTTAAGCCATCCGACTATAGAACATTTAAAATCCACTATTCTGAATGAATGGCAACTACGATGACAAAACGTAAATAAATACTTGTACAGAATAAAATTATATTATATTGGCTTAATTTTTATACTAAATAAAATGTGTTACGTTATTTTTATATAATGCAGGTCATTATATTTATTTAAATCCCATATCATCAATTAAACTTTTAATAAAGTTTTCCTAATTATAATTAACATTAATTTTAAACTAAAGCTTTTTCATCTTGAATGAGATTTACGAAATAACTTATGAGAAACAATAAAAAAGAGGCTCTGATATCTGAATAATCGATAATAAAACCACATATTGACTACTTTTATACTAAATAAATGTAGGTATGAAGTTATTTTAAAGCTGCATTATATTTATTTTAAACCCATCACCAATTATTACTTTAAATAAAATTTTTCTTAATTATAATTACCATTAATTTTAAGCTAAAACGATAAGAATATTTTTTCGTCGTCTTGAATGACATTTGCGAAATAACTTATGAGAAACAATAAAAAAAGGGCCTAGTCTATTGCTGCTGAATAAAAATCTGTAATTTATTTCATGCAACATGAAAATAAAATTGTATTTTTTTAAACCCGCGGCTTCGCGTTTGCTTCACATCAAATATTTATGTCTTGAATCATCAGTTCTAAAATGTTCGGCGCATGTCTTAAATTTTAGGATCTTGCAACAGCAGCGCCATCCTAATTCTTCCCTTTTTTTGACCATTTTTTAATGCACGGAGTTATTTCTCCTTACCTCTACACTCCATAACTAATATCACACTAATATATAAAATCCTTAAGTGACTGACATACTGATTAATCACGATCCTGCTCAAACCACTCAACGTAAAAAGCTCAATTTTGGCATACAGGTTGATTCTAGGGTGTAGAGGTTCGATAAGAAAGGATTTTTCGAAATTCCAGTTCCAAGAGGGCAAAACCACCCCCCAAATATTACAATATTTTTTTATTTAAAACAATGTCAAGTTTCCGAAAAAACGCTTAAACACGTATATTTTATTTTGTTTTTTTACATATTTTTAGATTTTTTAAAAATGTAAACAGGTTGTTTCGAAAAATCTGGTCATTGATTAATCACGATCCTGCTTAAAGCGCTTGACGTAAAAAGCTGATTTTTGGAAAACAGATTGACTTTAGGGTGTAGAGGGTGGTAGAGGTTCGATAAGAAGGGATTTTTCGAAACTCGAATTCTAAGGGGGTGAAACCACCCCTCAAATATTAGAATATTTCTTATTTAAGAACCGGTGAATTTTTCGGAAAAACTCTTAAACACGTATATTTTATTTTGATGTTTTATATATTTTAAGATTTTTTTAAAATTTATACAGGGTGTTTCATAAAATATGACCAATGAGTAATCACGATTCTGTTTAAACTGCTTGACGTTTAAAGCTGATTTTTGCCAAACGGACTGATTGTAGGGTATAGAGGTTCGATAAGGAGGGGTTTCTCGAATCTCAATTTCCAAGAGGGTGAAAACGCCCCTTAAATATTACAATATTTGTTATTTAAAAAACGGTTAATCTTTCGGAAAAACGCTTGGCCACGCATAATTTATTTTATTTTTTACATATTTTGAATTTTTTTAAAAAATCGTACAGGGTGTTCCAAAAAGTCGAGTAATTGATTAACCACTTAATTGACGTAAAAAGCTTATTTTTGGCAAACGGATTTTTCGAAAGTCAAATTCCAGCGAGATGAAACTATCCCTCAAATATTACCAAGTTATATAGTAATATCGCCATATTGTTTTTTCTCATGCTGACATAAATGTGAGAAAATTTTATCCAGTTTGTATGTTAATGGAAATGCTTGCTTTGCTTTATCATCACCATTACAAATGATTAATTCGACGTGAACGAAGTCGTGGGTACACGCTAGTTGTTTTATAAATATTAAACTTACCCAGTAATTCTCGTTGCTCCACAAACTTTCTATGCCACAATACAAATCGCTGTCCAGAGGATGGAACATACCGGTGCTAGCCTCAATAAAAACCATCCTCTCTACCGCACGGCCCTTTGTACCCAACAGAACCCAAGAGTGAATTCTTTGTCCTTCCAATTCGTCCAATGGTATTTTTTCTTCTTCCTAAACAGAGTAAGAACTGTAAAATAACCAATGAATGTTAATATAAATATTTTTCTACCAAAACTCTTTCTCTCGTTAATGCTGCCTGTTTCTCTTCCTCTTGTTGGAGCTGCTCCAGTTCTCTCTGCTTCATCATCTCTAGAAACTTGCTTTTCAGTTTTTTTGCGGGTTTTATCTTGTATTTGTCGTCCACTACTTCTGGTTCCTTCACTGGTTCTTCTTCTGTTGTCAGTGGATATGGACAGTCCACTCTGCACATTACGCGCATGGTTACGTCTTTGGTCGCATAACTGTAAGCGTACAATAAAAGAAATACAAACTAAAATAATATATTTTATATAGCTATGATTTACTGAAAATATACTTACCCTGAGACTACATATGCCTCGTAGCCCAGGCCAATCAAAAGGGAGCAGAGAGCAGTAGCTATTTCAAATGAATGGCCTGATTGCCTTAGAAAAACAGTGTGAGGTGAATATAGATGTTTGGGCTGAAAATAAAGAAATTTTTAATTTTCCAAACAGTTTATTAAATTAAATAACAAAAAAGTCGTTTAAATAAGTGCCAGTATTTTAAATGGTGGTAGATCTGAATCATTTTCAGTTGGAACCGCTGGTCCCAACTTATTCTATATTGAGAGTTAGCGTTTTCGATGCACTATATTACTATATGGACGAGTAAGTAGTATACAATTAACTTGATTAAAAATACTTCGTAATCTGGCCAAATCTAGAATAATTATTGATATTTGTCCTTTTAGTTAAGTTTTTTCTTTTAAGTTAGTTAGTAAGTTTACGAGGAATTACACTTCTGGTTATTGGAGGAAAAATTCTTGCAAAATTATTTCAAACCGCCTGCACCCACATATAGAAAAAATCCCCCCAGAATCGCAAAAGGATTTTCGCATCAACCGCGGCACTGTCGATTCCATATTACCCGTCCACCAACTACTAGGGCAACTACTTTACTAGAAAAAATTAAAAGAGCAGCAGTTTAAATTTTGTGTTGCATTCATCGACCTAACAAAAGACTTCGACTCTATAAACAGAGATACACTTTGGGCAATTATGAAAAAGTTCCCAACGAGTACCCAACAAATTTCTTACAGTCTGTAAAAACCTCCATAACAACAAGTCAAGAGTGTCACATCATGGATGATGTGATCACAGAAAAATTTCATCACAGAAAAATTTCACAGAATTCGTTGATGCCTGCGCTCTAGTTGCAAAAATGTTGCAGCAATTGCAAGAAATTCCGAACACACGTACCTGGGCATATACGAGGCTTTGGGTCTTAAGCTGAACATCGATAAAACTAAAATCATGTGCACTCCCTCGGAAGATCATAACAATACCTACTATAAAAATCGGAGAACTATTGGAGCTCGCGGAATTCATTTACCTCGGCAGTTTGATTTCGGAAAAGGCCAATATCGGCTCTGAAATTCAGCAAAGGATTAACAGCGCCTCAGAGCATTCTGGAAATTAAAAGACAGGGTTTTCTATACAATCATGACTTGAGCTTGCATGTACCGAGCAATAAAAATCCCGACCATGTTATATGGAATTGAAACCTGGGTGCTGTACCGCCGACACAAGAACGCATTAAACAAGTTGCAACAGAGACACCTTAGACAACTCTTAAGAATCAAATGGTTCCACCATGTCTCAAACGTATCTATTCTTGAGAAAGCTAGCTGCGAGGGCGCTGATGTCATAATTACAAAATCCCGCTTAAGATGGACTGGATACGTATGCAGGATGGAAGAAAACCGCCTACCAAAATCTCTTCTTAACAGTGAGCTCCTATAGTAAATTCAACACCAAGATGCACCAAACGTAAACAGAGACATGAGGCAAGCACGTAAACAGGAACGCTGTAGTAATATAACCAGGACCGCACTAAGGTCGGATATTTCAAATCATAAAATTATTATGTATATTTTTATGATTTTTTTTACTATTGTTTATATTTTATGATGGAAATTTATATTATATAAATGGATAATTATTGGGAAAACTGGAAATCGTCCTATTTTCACCAAAATTGGTATACACCCTATTTTGAGGTCGTAGATTACGAATCTGACCAAACCTAACCAACCAGCGGTCTCTTACCGTTTTTCAGAAAAACGGAAAATAATTTCAACATTGAATTTTTTTATTTCAGCCCTATAAAGTAATAATTTCACTATATTTTTATTATATCATAGTTTATCTAAAAGCCACACTTGATTGAGGATTGAAAAATGTCCAAAATTTTACTGAAAAACATTTTTCTTAACAAAATAACAAAGAAAATTGAGACCAGATGGAAGTTTGACATTTCATATATTCTTCTTTCTCTCTCCTATGTAATGAGAGAGACAAATATTTGATTTTTTTTTCGGGTGATTAGGGATTTTAAATAAATTACCTATTATGAGATTTGACAATAGTTAAATATACCTATATCCACAAAGTTACGCGGAAGAGTTTTAATTACATTGCTTTCAATTTCTATGCTTAAAGGGTTGATATTTTTATGTTATATTATATTAAAAAAAGATTAAACCCCTTCGCAAAGAAGTTATATAAATACTATTTATAAGCCCGAAGATGCATGAAAGAGTTTTGATCGCACTGGTTTCAACTTCTTTGCGGAGGGGGTTAATCTTTTTTTTTATATAATATAATGAAAAAAGATTAACACCCTCTGCATAAAAGTTGTAACCAATGCAAACAAAACTCTTTCGTGCCACTTCGTGGTTATAAATAGTCAGATATCGTTGGTAAAATAGCAGTTATGGGAAGGAGCTGTTCAACAAGGCAACCGCCTTTCGTAATCCCAGAATGAGCGAAAAAACACGCTAAATTTACGTTCAGCATTGGCAACGTTGCTTTAAATGCCAGAAACACATAACCCAACATTTTCAGATTGTTTACAAATTTATTTTAGCAAATTTTCCTCTATTATGCATAGAATTGGTTAAAAAAGTAACAGAAAATAGCAAAAACCTCATTGTTTATTGAATACCTAACAAAATATGTGCTAGAAAACCTTAAAAATATGAGAAATTAAGTAAAATTCTATGTTGAAACTATTTTCCGTTTTTCTGAAAAACGGTAAGAGACCGCCAGGAAAAATTTTAGTTGACAAAAACACTTAGTTTTAACTTGCTTTCGTAGCCTGCTGTATTATCCGTTTTAAAGTATAACAACATTTTTTTTTGAAAAACTAGTCAAATAAAAACTTCTGTTTTTAAACATAACATTTATTAACATTAGATTTACAAAATTTATAATTTTATTAACATTTACAAAATAATAATTTTATATAAAATATATAATTTTTGACTTTTTGTAGTAGGTACGTGTGTACTAATTGTAAAAATATTTTATGCAAACGTAAATATTATTTTCTCTATTTGTAACTTGTAACTTTTACGAAGTGATCAACAATTATTATTAAAATAGTTGACTGTTCTGATTTTACTCGCTTGGTTGGGAATAAATTTAAAAAGCATTTTTATGTTATCAAACAGTATTCCTTAACGCGCTATGCAAGTCGACCCTGTAAAAAATCTCAACCGCCTACCTCAACGGCTCTATGGCGGGCCGGCCAATCAGGGTAGATTTTGCCGCTGGCTCTCGCCTGACACGTGCTGATCACGCACCTTGCATTTGTTTATACTGGCGCATTTTGAATTTGAATACAGTTTAGACGGTAAGAAGAAACCGGGTGGACAACTCAAAAGCACAATTTAAGAAATTGAACGCAATGGAGAAGAATTGTAAACTCAGTTAACAGCAACAACCAGAAAGTAAAGAGGCAACAAAGCAATGAGATTTTTGTATGTCCGGAGTGCGGAAGAGAGATAACATCACGTATCGAGCTTTTCAGTCACAGAAAAGCTGAAAAAAGTCACATGGAAGAAAACGCCTTGCGTAACCATTTTCTGATGCGTGTCAAATACTCGTCAGCGAGTAATAGCTGTAGTAGTAGTAGTATATAACTATACATATGAATGTATTAGTGTGTGTTAAAAAGTATGTACAGTGCGTTTTTCTAGTATCGCAATGCACGCTACTGAACGTAACATTCGACAACTCTATCGTTCGGTAGCGAACCGAATCGAATTTTCGGACCCGAAACCGAAAAAGATACAGAATAGGGTCCCTGGAGAAGGCCTAAGAAAAACAAACAAACGGCACCATCGACACCGACACCGGTGTTAATCGCGATAACGGTGTTGAGGTAAACGTCGGTGTTGAGATAAACACCGGTGTCGAGATAAACACCGGTGTTGTAGATGACCACCGGTACTGAAATGAACACCGGTGTTGAGATAAACACCGGTGTCGGTGTTGACACCAGTACACCGACTGAAACACCGGTGGTCATCAACACCTAACACCGGTGTTCAAATCTCAACACCGAACAGGTCTACTCTGGAGTCGAACTATAAACTATACTACTAGTTAAAAAACTTGCACTTATTTCCGAGACATCATGTATAGATGTGCGTTTTGTCCAAAGCATATTATAAAATATCTGAAATACAGCTCTAAACATTTTTTATTACTGGCCACGAGGCCAGCCTTTTTTTATCTTGTTTACGGCTCACGACGTGAAATAAAATAAAAAAAAAATAAAATAAATACTCCCTGGCATGGCAGTCCAAAAAACCTTTTATTTTCAGTAAACAGTTCCAGGAGTAAAAAACGGAGCTATGGCTATACTACGACACTAAGAAAAAAAGCGGAGACATCAAACAACGGCTACGCGTGATATGCAACATTTAGTCGGCCGACTATTTAGTTGCAAAAGTGAAAACAATACATTCTTATAGCAAGAATATCGTCTATATAGTTATATAGACGACTATTTAATTGTCCGACTAAGATTTCAAATTTAGGCCAACCTCTTTGCAAGTGCAAACTAGATTACTCCACCCACAACCAGTTTCCAACTAAAATGAAACTGCTACACGCGCACGGATCCAACTCATTCTGCATCAGTTTCAATCAGTTGGTGTAGCAGTTGAATTTAAAAAAAAAATTACAATAATGTCAAATTCCAAATATTCAAAAGATGATATAGATATTATTAATTTTCATCAATACCGCAAACAACATAGAGAGTATACTGGGTCCATCCATACATGCTTTCTCTATCACGTGGTGCATTTAGAGATTGAGTCTGGGAGGGGTAGTGTCAATATTTAAATAAAGTACTAAATCTAAATAATATTTTCTCTGACAGATATTGTGACTTTGGAAAGTGGAAAGAAATATACCTTGATAGGTTTGGATTTTCTATTTTGAGAGAGAGAGAGAGAGAGAGAGAGAGAGAGAGAGATTGGTACTATTAACTTCATTTGTGACAACTTTAATTATAACCCACATTTTATCTTATACATAAATTTCTTCTTGGGAGGAGTAATTACCCCCATTGCCCCTTCCGTATATGCGCCTCTAACCTCTTTCCTGCAGTACCCCTGAAATTTTA